TACTAGAATATTGTGTATTTATGTCTGAACATAATTGTGTTTGCGCCAATAAATATTTGTAGTTGTATAATACTTAAGAAAATTAATTCGTATTTAAAATAAAAAAAAACTTAAAATAAGTAACAACTTGATAATACGATAATATATATTTAATATTCAATTTGGTTTCCATTTGGGTCCATTTGATTTCCATTTGGGTCCATTTTGATTTCCATTTGGGTCCATTTTGGTTCCATTTGGGTCCATTTGGGTAAACTGACGTGCCGAAAAAATGTTGGTACCCAAAGAAAGATTTTGTCTCGAGGAATATACCTATGAAATTTGAAAGCCCTAGCACCAACTATTCAAAAGTTATGGTAAAGGTTAAAGTTTTTTAAAAGTAAGTAAAACGTCAAGGTCAAATGGGGCCCCAAGGGAAGGTCTTGTCACAAATGATACACATGTTCGTGAAATGTGAAAGCCATAGAACCAAATATTCACATGTTATGGCCAAGGTTAAAGTTTTTTAAAGGTAGGTCACACTCCAAGGTTAAGGTCAATGCCAAAATTGTTGGTATCCAAAGGAAAGTCTTGTCGCAAGGAATGGACATGTGAAGTATGAAAGCCGTAGCACCAACAGTTCAAACGTTATGGCCAATTTTAAAGTTTTTCAAAAGTAGGTCAAACTCTTAGGTCAAGTTCAAAGGGTCAAAGTTGTTGGTATCCAAAGGAAGGTCGTGTGAGAAGGATTACACATGTAAAGTACGACAGTCATAGACCAACCGTTCAAAAGTTATGGCCAAGGTTAAAGTTTTTCAAAAGAAGGTCAAATTCCTAGGTCAAGTCAAAGGGTCAAAGTGGTTGGTATCTAAAGGAAGGTCTTATCACAAGGATTACATATGTGAAGATGGAAAGCCCTAGCACCAACCGTTCAAAAGTTATGGCCAATTTTAAAGTTTTTCACAAGTAGGTCAAACTCCTAGGTCAAGTTCAAAGTTGTTGGTATCCAAAGGAAGGTCGTGTTACAAGGATTACACATGTGAAGTACGACAGCTCTAGACCAACGTATCCTTCAAAAGTTATGGCTAAGGTCAAAGTTTTTCAAAAGAGGGTCAAACTCCTAGGTCAAGGTCAAAGAGTCCAGGGGTCAATATGGTTGGTATCTAAAGGAAGGTCTTATCACAAGGATTACATATGTGAAGATGGAAAGCCCTAGCACCAACCGTTCAAAAGTTATGGCCAATTTTAAAGTTTTTCACAAGTAGGTCAAACTCCTAGGTCAAGTTCAAAGTTGTTGGTATCCAAAGGAAGGTCGTGTTACAAGGATTACACATGTGAAGTACGACAGCTCTAGACCAACGTATCCTTCAAAAGTTATGGCTAAGGTTAAAGTTTTTCAAAAGAGGGTCAAACTCCTAGGTCAAGGTCAAAGAGTCCAGGGGTCAATATGGTTGGTATCTAAAGGAAGGTCTTATCACAAGGATTACATATTTGAAGATTGAAAGCCCTAGCACCAACCGTTCAAAAGTTATGGCCATTGTTAAAGTTTTTTAAAAGTAGGTCAAACTCCTAGGTCAAGTTCAAAGTTGTTGGTATCCAAAGGAAGGTCGTGTTACAAGGATTACACATGTGAAGTACGACAGTCCTAGACCAACCGTTCAAAAATTATGGCCAGGGTTACAGTTTTTCAAAAGTAGGTCAAATTCCTAGGTCAAGGTCAAAAGGTCAAAGTTGCTGGTATCTAAAGGAAGGTCTTGTCACAAGAAATACACATGTGCAAAATAAAAGCCCTAGGACAAACTGTTCAAAAGTTATGGCCAATGTTAAAGTTTTTTTCAAAAGTATGTCAAACTCCAAGGTGAAGGTCAAAGAGTCAAAGTTGCTGTTGTTCAATGGAAGGTCTTGTCACAAGGAATACACATGTGAAGTTTGAAAGCCCAAGCACCAACTGTTCAAAAATAATGACCAAGATTAAAGTCTCATAAAATTTTGCAAAAGTGGGTCCTAGGTCAAGGTCAAAAGGTCAAATATAATGGTATCCAAAGAAAGGTGTTGTCCAACCAATCAAAAGTTATGGGCAAGTTTAAAGTTTTTGCGGACAGACAAACAGACAGACGGACGGCGGACAGGGCAAAAACTATATATCCCCGAATCTTCGATACAGGGGCATAAAAATTACTATTCAGTATATAATGGGGGGGTGGGGTTATTTTCCAACCCCACCCGGGTGACCCCAATTGACTTCGTCCAAATACACACTCCAAATTCATTTGATTTCCTGTCATATTTGCCTTGACTACCCCTCTTTGGAAAATTAAATTACAAGCACCCTTTCCCACAACAGTGATACTAATTTTACCATGCTCTTTGATGTGCACGCACATGGTGTTTTTGTGAAGGATTGATATTTCATATAGGCAAGCTATTATGTGGTGTTAAGTGAATATTGTTGAAAGTGGATTTACCTGGATTTATTGTCTTAAGTCTAGCTAACAACAGAAAGACATGCCCTACTATCATGGCATACATTCACTGTAGGTCTGAGAGAGGAATGGACGATAACTCTGCATGGGAGACTGTATACAGGCAAGTATCTCAAATGAAATCCCTAAACCAGATTAAAGAATCGTGTGTCATGACACATAAAATGGTATATAGATCATGACTCCTGGAGGTCATTCCCACTTGCTGAAACTGGAAATGAACAAATATCTCAAAACATTTAAGCTTTACTCTTAACCATATAGACCTATAATCTTGTTCTTTGTGTCATGACACAATGGCATAATGCAGGCCATGGCCCATGGAGGTAAACATCCACCCCACCCCAAACTAAATATGGCCAAATATCTCAAAAACAGTTAAAAGCTTTACCTAAAACAATTAGAAATATATATATATATATATATATATATATATATATATATATATATATATATATATATATATATATATATATGACATATGGCTTTAGGAGACCAAGGAGGATATATTTTCTGGCTTAGGGAGACCACTGGATTAAGGCGACCTTTTTCGGTCTCCCTATTATTTTGACCTCATCAGTATTGCAAATGTCTTTTTGTAGATAAATAAACAGTCTGCCATTAAATATTATTAATCTTTAACTCTGTTATTTAACATTCAAAAGTTGTCTAATTTCTATCATCTTCCCTAAAAAAGAAAAGAATTTATAACCTACGTATAATTTCAAAGGATAATTTTTCTGCATTTTGGAGACCATGAAAAACATGCAATTAAACAAAAAATCTAGCATATATATTTTTTCCGCTTTTGATTTGTTCAAATGAGTGTTTCTTTAACTTAGTTTTCCATGTTTTATGTTAAAAACCTAAAAAGGAAAAATATTGTAAATTTATGAACCATGTTTTGAATTCTTAGCAAGTGCTTTCCGTCATTTGTTCCGAATGCCATCGGAATGCCCCTTCAGTTTTCAGAAAATGACCTCTGAACACCATGGATGTTGAGAAATTTGGGTAAGTAACTAAAATGATACAGTAATAAGTTGTAATTAAGAATACACAAGACAAACATTCGTTTGGTTTTTTGGGGTTTTTTTTTTTTGCCTAGTAATTTAGCTTTCAAGAGAAAAAGTATGATTTTAAATAATCGTTAGACTATAGTTCGGTATATAAAATCCTGAAGGAAATTCGAAATAAAGTTAAATGATAGGCCCCTATATTTTTTTAAATTCTTTTATGCAAGTCCACAAACAAATTAAATATTTAAAGATTAGGCCGAACGTTGAAAAAATAGTCTCGCAAGTTGACGCAGCTATTTCGAGCTTAAAAATTTAAATTAAACTTTCTGTAAACATCATGCAGGACATGATCATCATGATATAGTATGAATGAAACAGACCCTGTAAGAAAAAAATAGCTGTAATTTAATAATTGTTTATTAATATAATGTGGTCCTCTGCTAATAGAATATATATGCTGTAAAAAAAAATCTGAATCAGGGTGAAGCAGATTTGATACAATACATGGCTGAAGGAACGGGGGGGGGGGGGGGGCAGGCCCCCTGTAATTTTGCTGAAATTTAGGTATACTATAGAAAACATTGCTCCTTTATGCTTGGGCCCCCTCAATAATAACCTCTGATGATCTATTTTTCTTTTGCTTTTGGGCCCCCTCAATAATAACCTCTGATAATGTATTTTTCTTTTGCTTATTAAAAATTTTTTGGTTTGTAGCCTCCCCCAACCTGAAACTGAAAAATGTTGTTTGGTTGTGCTCACCCCCCCCCCCCCCCCCTCCAACTAAATTACGTACGGGCCTATTCTCCATCCCTGAGGTTTTCTTTCACCAAAGAAAGATGAATTGGTAACAGTTCAGATATATATAGCAATATTTACGGAAGGGAATATTCTAGTTTAATTATGAAGATGTGACAGTAACTCAGTCAAAGCCACAGTGAGTGTAGCATTTATTTAATATTATTGTTAATGTTTACAAATAGTGAAATACTGATACTGTGAAATTTTAATGGATATATAGAAAATATAAAAGTACAACCATTTATTGTAAATCACATACATGAAAAGCTTCTTTTTTTTAAGCAATTGGAAATTCTTCATTTTTTCATGAAATTATTTTATTTCGTATTTATGATAATTTATTTCGTATTTTAATTCAGTCAACAAATCATTGTCGCAGCCTAGTTCCCTTCATTATTTTCAGCAGTTCAGTGACAGAGATAAAATAATCATTTGAGGTTTATACCCCCCCCCCCCCTCCCCACCAAATGAAACTGAAAAATGTTTGGTTTTGGTCCCCTTCAACTGAAATTGATTCCTACTTACCATGCTTACAGGCTTAACTATGAAGATGTGACAGGGAGTGTAATAACAATAATTGTTCAGACGGATACATATTAAGCTGATATACGTATCAAATTTTAATGGATAGATAGAAATTAATAAACAATTACAACCATTTATTATAAACTACATAAAGATAATTTTTCAAGCAATTTGAATTCTTCATTTTTTATGATAATATTTTATTTCGTATATATGTTTATAGGTTTATTCGTATCAACAAATCTGTGTACGAGTTAATAACGCAGCCTGGTTCCCTGCATTTTCAGTGAACCACAGAGAACCAGAATAAGATTGTAGGGAAACAAGCCTTGTTACAAGGTTTGAGGTTTGTTTATTTTATATTTTAATTTACACTTTTAAAAATTATTATTATTATGCAAAATCTATGTGCAGATGAATATTTACATTTTAATGTTATAAGTCGTTTTGTGGTTCATATTTGCGGTGACTGTCCCACGTGTGTTTACCTGTTTACATTCACCTACTGACCTAGAGTCTTCAAAATATACCTTCTGTAATCATGACTGTTGTAATCTTGTTTTTATGTTAGTTTACCATATGTAACTTGACTATTGTATAGATTTATAGCGATCACTGCAAGCTTTTAATATTTAGGTGAAGAGAAATTTCAGACTATCAATCACAGGCACTTGTTTCATATACGGTGCACCCCTACTTATTTTTACCACAAGGTATCTAACTCAATTTCAGGCACCCCTGCTTCAAGCTCGTATTTTGTTCATGTATCATTATCAATCATTAACCTACTTTAAAATGACATCGTTCGCTTCAAGAGACTTTTTTCTTGTCAAATAAGTCGTTTCAGATGTCTCTGGTCGAGTCTCTTTATTGTAAAGCACTCATTTATTCCACGAAAATTACCTCGATACATTTTAAGACTTTAGATGGGATACAACTTCCAGTTGGGGGTAGAATAAAACCAGAGACTTCCGAGTATTCCATTCCGAGGTCTCTGGTTTTATCCTTCATTTATAACCCAAACCACAAATTTGTATCGAAAATTACCTTGATACATTTTAAGACTTTAGATGGGATACAAATTTCATTTTTTTCACAGGTCACGAGGTTTCAACTTAAAAAATAAAAATTCTCACCGTTAAGATATGTTGGAAATTTTAGCTTGATGTGTTGATAATTTGCCAAATTATTATGTAATAAAGGGGACTTTATATGATCACCTGGCGCTGTCGCTTTAGTTCAGTCTTCACAACAATTCTTTTTCAGCACATGCCCTTCGGGCATGTAGACCTATCATTTTTACCCAGCCCATACTAATTTGTACATGTCCTACTCAAAATTCTTACATTTACCAGTATTGTGCAACAAAAAAAACCCATTAGGCATGTTAGGTATAAAGGTTTTATATTAATTTTTTCAGCATCGTAAACCAACCATGGCCTGTGATTGCCATTCTCTAAAGCGTTTGTGTTCATAAATAACTTTTGAGTTGCATGCTGGTCATTTGTTGGCCGGTTTAGCTGAACTGAATTTCAGAAATGGGATCATGACTGTAGTGCCACAGTATGTGGCATTGATGAACATCTCGTAATTTAGCAAGCAACTTCGAGAAAACAAATAGGTTAAACTAAACACTTCAATGATTAGATTGACAATCATTTGACAGGTCGTATCGAGAATGTAGACAGGCAATCCATCGAAATTACATATAGCAACGTTTAAGCGAATAATGGGGGTAGGACAGAGTAAATGGCAAGTAAAGATCGTACAATGAAAGAAGATTCACATATGCCCTCTTCGGACATGTAATTTGGCAATTTTTACATGCCCAGCTGCAAATTTAACAGATCCCTGGCATTGGACTCCCGGGTTATTTGGAAGACTGTTAGTTTAGTTTCATGAGGTCCGACAACATTGATTCTCAATGTCTGCTCCCTCTACCCCATACACTTATCTTGATAAAATTATATAAATTATATTATTAATTATATAAATTGATATAAATTATATAAACCGGTCTTGTTTATATAATTTTACAATGTCATAAACAGCTGCTTAAGTGCATATAATATTTTACTAAATGGATTTATATATAGGATTAGGGAAAGATCCTCACTTGATTATGGCAGCATATTTAGCCCGTAGGAGTTTATTATCTACCACACATGATCAATGTCACTTTTGGACGTGAAAGACTTTTGACACCCTAACTTCAGTTCAAATCAACGTTAACTTTATGTGACGTCTCTCTGAATCTTTTTTGGCATGTAACTTGGGTAAAAACAATTAAGTACTCTTGATGCATTTGATTTCTCTTAGCCCGTTTAAACATTTCCAAGGTCTATACCAGTTTTTGCAGGGGCGAAACAATGTAGAAGTTGGAAAAGAAACCCATCCCCTTTTTGACGTATTTGGTTTTCGAGGGGTGAAAATGTTCAATATTACACTCAACTACATGCAATATTTATTATATTATACTGAATGTTTTATACAAATACAAATAATAGTGAACCTTGAGTGCATAAATCTGCGCAGTCACTATTTTTTGGAATATCACCCGTCGTCAAGCAATGTTGACTGTTGCGACACTGGGCGTGGCTTCATTATTCAGCGGATAATAGTGCTTTTTAACAAATGTTTCTTGACGAATCAGATTAATTCATCTAATATACCTGAAAGTACAATATTAATTAATTGTCATCATTTTCCTATACATGTATTAGCATTTTTACTGGTAATGGTTTTGAAATGATAGGAACATGCACTGTTCAAAAAGTCTTAAAATGTTGTTTTGGCTCAATTTCTTTGTTAGATTACTGTGTTGAACTAAGGCAGGTCAATTAAAGTAACATGATCCTATAGATTCCATGTACATTTAGTACTGTAAAGTAGACAAATTTATTGTTCTCACAAGTAGTTCTCAAACATTGATTTAAGTTGGTCTCCTGAAGGATGTAATAATGCAGTTGGTCTGCTTAAGGTACAGTGTATAATATAGACATGCATATTTTATTTTGAATTTGTATTATGTCAATCATTAGAAATATATGGATCTTAATTAAAAAACATTGTTTTCATTAGAATTTAAGATATGTATAATAGGCATATATTTTTCATGCTTTTCCATAGTTAAGTCCTTTTTTACAGGGTCTCTGCTAGAATCATGTGGACCCCAGTGTAACAAATCTATGGAAAGAGAGAAAATCTCAGCTCAAGGGTCAACATGTCTTTATTCCAAGAAAGGTAAATTGATAATTTTTTCTGCTAAAATACTCTTTTATAAATTATAATATCAATGCAAAAGAGTGAACAAACAATGTACCTAACAACATTTTGAAAATGAAAGTGCAATAACAGTTAATAATTATGATCAATCGAATAAATGTTAATAATCCAATCAAAGTCCTTGTTGTATATCATTTTTGCTAGGGCTGTGTATTGAGCAAAAAAAAAAAAAAAAAAAAAAAAAAAGATATTTTTTAATGCGATATGCAATATATTGAATTCTTTAACAATTCTGTTAAAAAAGTCTTATAAATCATTATGCATGAATTTTATAAAAATAATAATTGTTTTTTACTCATTTTTAATTTTTTGTCTCACCGTCTTTAAAAATTACACTTCAAATTCAAACTTTTCTTGACTGTGAAATCAACATGTTAAGTAAAGTTGTCTATGTATTTTTATGATTTTGTAATAATCATTTAAGATGTGCTACCTCCTTAATGATTATATAATTTTTGATCAGTTTTAATTCAAAACAGTTACCGGTAAATATAATCTTTGGTGATTGAAATTCCCAAGTTTTTCACAGAATTACATAAAAAAAACTGCCTGCCCAAAATGTATTGGAATTAAGTTATTTTTAGCTCACCTGAGCCAAAGGCTCAAGTGAGCTTTTCTGATCAAAATTTGTCCGTTGTCTGTCGTCGTTGTCGTAAACTTTTCACATTTTCATCTTCTTCTCAAGAACCACTGGGCCAATTTCAACCAAACTTGCCACAAAGCATCCTTGGGTAAAGGGGATTCAAGTTTGTTCAAATGAAGGGCCACACCCTCTTTCAAGGGGAAATAATTAAGAATTAGTGAAAATTTAGTGGTATCTTTTAAAAATCTTCTTCTCAAGAACCACTGGGCTGTAAAAGTTGAAACTTAGGTGAGACCTTCATTACATAGTGTAGATTCAAGTTTGTTCAAATCATGACCCCCTGGGGTAGGGTGGAGCCACAATGGGGGATCAAAGTTTTACATAGGAATATATAGGAATAAATCTTTAAAAATCTTCTCCTCAAGAACAACAAAGCCACGATTAGTCATATTGATATGGAATCATCCTCAGGTAGTGTAGATTCAAGTTTGTTCAAATCATGACCCCCAGGGTAAGGATGGGGCCACAAGGGGGGATCAAAGTTTTACATAGGAATATATAGAAAAAATCTTTAAAAATCTTTTTCTCAAGAACAACAAAGCCACAATTAGGCATATTGATATGGAATTATCCTCAGGTAGTGCAGATTCAAGTTTGTTCAAATCATGACCCCCAGGGGTAGGGTGGGGCCACAATGGGGGATCAAAGTTTTACATAGAAATATGTAGGACAAATCTTGAAATTGTTTTTTCTTAAAAACAACAAAGCCACAATTAGTCATAATTTATAATATGGAAGCATCCTCAGGTAGTGTAGATTCAAGTTTGTACAAAATCATGACCCCCGGGCGGGGGGGGGGGGGGACAATGGGGGATCAAAATTTTACGTAGGAATTTATAGAAAAAAAATCTTTAAAAACCTTTCTCTCAAGAACAACAAAGCCACAATTAGTCATATTGATATGGAATCATTCTCAGGTAGTGTAGATTAAATTTTGTACAAATCATGACCCCCAGGGGTAGGGTGGGGCCACAATGGGGGATCAAAATTTTACATAGAAATATGTAGAAAAAAATCTTGAAAAATCTTCTTCTCAAGAACAACAAAGTCACAATTAGTCATATTGATGTGGATTCATCCTCAGGTAGTGAAGATTCAAGTTTGTATCAAATCATGACCCCTCGGGGTAGGGTGGGGCCACAAGGGGCGATCAAAGTTTTACATAGGAATATACAGAAAAAAAAATTGAAAAATCTTCTTCTCAAGAACAGCAAAGCCTTGTTAAGTCATATTGATATGGAAGCATTCTCAGATAGTGTAGATTTAACTTTGTTCAAATCATGACCCCCAGGGTTAGGGTGGTGCCACAATTGAGGATCAAAGTTTTACATAGGAATACATAGGAAAAAACTTCTTCTCAAGAACAGCAGTCATGTTTTGTCATACTGATTTGGAAGCTTCCTCAGGTAGTGTAGATTCAAGTTTTTTCAAATCATGACCCCTGGGGGTAGGGTGGGGCCACAATGGGGGATCATAGTTTTACATAAGAATATATAGGGAAAAAAAACTTGAAAAATCTTCTTCTCAGGAACAGCAAAGCCATGTTTTGTCATATTGATATGGAAGCTTCCTCAGGTAGTGTAGATTCAAGTTTGTTCAAATCATGACCCCTGGGGGTAGGGTGGGACCACAATGGGGGATCATAGTTTTCCATAGGAATACATAGGAAAAAACTTCAAAAATCTTCTTCTCAAGAACAGCAAAGTCATGTTTTGTCATACTGATATGGAAGCATCTTCAGGTAATGTAGATTCAAGTTTGTTCAAATCATAAACCCCAGGGGTAGGGTGAGGCCACAATGTGGGATCAAATTTTTACATAGGAATATATAGGAAAAAATCTTTTCATCAACAGAAAAGCCATGTTTAGTCATATTGATATGGAAGCATCCTCAGGTAGTGTAGATTCAAGTTTGTTCAAATGATGGAGGGGGGGGGGGGGGTTAGGGAGGGTCCACAATGGGGGATCAAATTTTTAACAAGGGAATATATAGGAAAAAAATCTTTAAAAATCTTCTGCTCAAGAACAGTAAAGCCATTTGTTATATTGATATGGAAGCATCCTCAGGTAGTTCAAAATCCAAGCCCCCTCCCCTTTAAACTTTTCAATACTGAAGTGATTTGTGCTTTTTCCTAGCCAATGTGCTCAGGTGAGCGTTGTGGCCCATGGGCCTCTTGTTTTTGATACGATATATTCATTAATCTAGATATGTATCGATATACAGGTAAACTTCGGTATCTCGAACACCGGTATGTCGAATACCACGGATATCTCGAAGTGAATCAACGGTCCCAGCCGTTTTTATTATATTTATGATTTTAAAAAACCCCGGTATCTCGAACACGGAAATCTCGAATACCTCGCTTATCTCGAAGTAGATTTACGGTCCCAAGTGCTATAAACACATGCGTTATCTCGAAGTCCAACAAATTCTGGCTCCACTGAATTCACACCTTAGTACACAATAATCCCATTATGCTAATTTTACGGTCTGTTGAACGTTTCCGTTAGGTCTAGCACAGGCTTCATGGGACCATTGCTGATAATCACACCTTATTAGTCCCAAGCTGTTGTTTTTGGTAGTTAAATTTAATTACGCAGGCCAGGTGATTTGGAGGTGTTAATAAAATGCACTCTCAGAGATACTATGACACGATAATGAAACAGCAGCTTGGGGACGATTACTGTACTAGAAATTTAAATTATCGAAAATACACGCTTATACACATCATTACATATCAGAGTAAACACTGAACACATCAAAGTGATATTGACCTCAAGAAATTAAACAATTAAAGACATTATTTTGAGTATAAAAGTCAGTACCAAAAATCAAATCTTCAGTAAATATCATGTCCGATAAGGCAGTCTAACGAAGGACCCGGTAGCCAACCAGGGGGGATAGTTAGATTATCTGACCGTAGTGGAAAAAGAAAACTTAAAGTTCATACAATCGAAACAAAGTTTGCTTTTGTTTATTCATATTGGCAATTTCAATAAATTATTGTAGAACGATAATTCCTGTTGTTACATTTAGGCATGTGGGTATATGTACATATCCTGTTAAAGTCTTTGTGTATCACATTATATCATGATATACTTCAGACAAATTAGTACACCCGTAGTTTTGAATACAATTCATACATTGATTTCATTTGCCACAATGGTCTCTTTAATATTGCAATAATGCATTTGGTCTTCCTAATGCATGTATAATGCAGGTACTGTATATACTCTATGTCCAGCTTATAGGTGAGTCATAAAAAGATTAGTATTTTGAGACAGGTTAAAACATCAGAGCATTGATTTGAAATTGTCAATTGATTCTGGCAAAAAGTTGTACCAATTTATAAGCGGGTCAGTAGCAAATCCCACCAAAATAACCTCAAAAAATACAACTGACTTATAGGTGGACCACCTTATAGGCAAGTATATATACGGTATAGTTTTTGTTAAATTTTGCTAACAGCAAAAGACTATGAATAATGAATTTTGGAAAAAAAAGGTTATTAAGTTTAATGAGGCATGTATGTAGTATAGAAATATTGTTCATATGCCTGTACATGGTACAAATATGCATTTTACAGAGTGTACATATGCCAGAATCATATGGACCGCAGACTGGCCCTGGTGATTCCGTTAAGAAAAAAGAGGAAAAATCAGTGCTTGTGCTCATTGGTCATTGGACAAAGGTAAATAGATTTATTTAATGAAACTAAACATGTAAATTACGAGGATATTAAAATATCACAATTAAAATACATGTACTGATACTTGATGGAGTTAAATGCATTTGTTATCCCTTTTAAGTGGATCATTTAAATAGTATGCAGTTTATTTAGAAGCTCTTTATTATCTGCACTGTTCACTTTTACAGGGTGAATGCCAGAATTTTTTCAAGAACAGTCTGAATCTGACATGGAAAAAATGAAGAAAAACAGCCTTCCTGTTTATAAATCTACATTCTGACAAAGGGTAATTTTGTTTAGTTCAATTAGAAGTGCACATTTAATTTCAGTTGCTTTCCTTAATGATATATTATAGCATTTTTATTCCCTTATGAACAATATGTATACTTGTAAAGCATGTATCACAAAATCTTCTGCAAACAAAGTTTTGGGTGTAGAGTGTTTGTTGTTTAACGTCCCTCTTGAGAATTTTTCACTCATATGGAGACGCCACCACTTGTCAGTGGAGAGCTGCAAATTTTTGTCCTATACTCAGCACTTACGGCCATTGAGCATTGAGGGATCTTTATCGAGCCAGCACCTACTGTGACATGGGACCTCGGTTAATACCTCTGTCTCATCTGAAGAATGGGTCTCCATGTCCCACAGTGGGATTCAAACTCGCGATGTAAGGATCAGCTTCTTTCTCCGCAACTCTAGAGTAGACGCTCTAACCACTGCATCTGCTCTACTTTGGCAACTTTGGGAGTATATAAGCATAGGAATCATCATGTCCATCTGTCTGTTCATGTGTTTGGCCACTTTTATGATTAGTTTTTTTGTTCCAATTCTGGCTGAGATAAATTGATTTAAGTCATCTAAATGCAAACAAATTAAGGGAAATTACTATGGTATTGGAATGAACTTTTTGGAATACTGTCTAATTGTTCCATTGTAGTTGGTTTCTTTAATGTTGAAATAATGCATCTGATCTTCCTAATGCATGGCATACACTGTATGCATGTGTAATGTTAAAGTTGGCTGAATGTAAAACAGTTCTTGCGTTATGACAAAGGTAAATAGATTTAGTTCATGTAACTAAACATGTAAATTATTAGGGTATTAAAATCTCAAGTTTTGAATACTGATTTACATGTGGAGAGTAGTTGGTCTCCTTAATGCAGTAATAATACATTTGGTCTCCCTTATGCATACTGTATATTATATAAATTTAATGACTGACATGTACGAGGGTTGATCCAAAAGTTCATGGAATTTCTTCATATTTTATTTATTTATTAGTGAAAGTGGTTGAATACTGATTTACATGTAGATAGTAGTTGGTCTCCTTAATGCAGTAATAATACATTTGGTCTCCCTTATGCATACTGTATATTATATAAATTTAATGATTGACATGTACGAGGGTTGATCCAAAAGTTCGTGGAATTTCTTCTAGTGTTATACCGATAATCAGAAAACATCGATTGTCAACAAAAAAATGCTACTGATTCCGATGATCGATTATAGTTTTTCATAATCGATCATCGGAAACATACTTCTAATACAATACATTCCGGAATTATCCATTTCTGGTTTAAAATTTATTTCTTCTTAATGAAAGAAAATGGCATCTGCATCTGATACTAGCCAACTAGCACGAAGCAGAGGTGATTAAGAACCGAAGATGCATATATAGGGCCTAAAAAAAATTATTTTTGTTTCCTGTAATAACCCGACCGACCCATTCAATTTACCCCCGGGTGAATTTTTTTTCTGCCAAATCTGTGTTTGCTCTTTGGTTTGATCAATCAGCTGATTCTTTTTATTCAAAAAATATTAATTGTATCTTTTATTTGAGTTATAAAATATGCAACTTAGTCAACATTTACCTTAAATATAGAGTGATCAATTCCCCCCACAACTTTTTGAAGTTCGTTTTCTGCCGCTAGGCAGCCATGTTGGGTGTCCACTGTAAATATTTTTAGGTCTAGAAAGTGTAAAAGAAGCAAAACAACAAAGAAAATAATATATTATGTATTTTATATATTCATGTTAAAGAAATAAATGAAATTATTGTAATAGTCTGCTTTTTGTATACAAAAAATCCGATTATAATCGGTGAAATCGCATCAGAAGCAGTAACCAATTCCAACCGATGATCGATTATGAAAATTAACCGATGTCTCATCACTAATTTCTTCATATTTTTTTTTTATTTATTAGTGAAAGTGGTTGAATACTGATTTACATGTGGAGAGTAGTTGGTCACCTTAATGCAGTAATAATACATTTGGTCTCCCTTATGCATACTGTATATTATATAAATTTAATGACTGACATGTACGAGGGTTGATCCAAATGCTTATGGAATTTCTTCATATTTTATTTTTTTATTAGTGAAAGTGGTTGAATACTGATTTACATATGGATAGTGGTTGGTCTCCTTAATGCAGTATTAATACATTTGGTCTCCCTTATGCATACTGTATATTATATAAATTTAATGACTGACATGTACGAGGATTGATCCGAAAGTTCATGGAATTTCTTCTTATTATTATTTATTTCTTAGTGAAAGTGGTTGAAAATTACAAATAAAAATATAGACACTTGTTGAATTTTTTTAATAAAAAAATATTTTAAATATTAATGATAGTAACTCTATGGCAGTTGCCATAGCAAAGGATGTTTTAAAATGCAGGGGAGACATTTACTCGTTCATTATCATTTTAATTCTTAATATGTGATATAAGAAAAAACCTGCGCTAAGTGGCAAATAAAATGAGAATTTTGTCATTATTACGATTGCTTGACCACTTATATACCTGTCTGTGAGAGTTTTACTGATTTAACTTGATATTTAGATTATTAGTTGATGATTTCTTGTTCATCTTTTAATTGTTAGAGAACGTCACATTTCAGTCAAGTTATAAGTTTTGTTAAAATCTTAGGAACACTCTGACTTAAAGGGGTATACTACTGATACAGGCTGGAGAAAAATGCATTTAGCAACTGATTTTCCAGTGGCGTGAGAAATTTAAGAACAATAGAACTTCCATGGAGGTTGATTAAAGGTGTGGCTGCTTTTGGAGGGTCTGTTTTTCTCGTAGACAAATTAAGCGTTGATGGATGTTGACCACTGACGTACTGTGCTTGACTTTGCTACTGAAATTGGAACATCATATGGAAAGATGGGGAGTATTTTTGAAATATGAGTGTAATATAAAGATAAGTCAATTGGTGGATACCCAGGCTTTTCTTGAGAGAAAAAAAGAGAAAAAGGCAGAATATTCTGTAGAATTACTTAGTTGAATTGAACATGAGGGTGAGATGCTCCTATAACATGACATGACATACTTAACTTGACGTTACGTCGAAGTCTCCCCCGGATTTTACAACTATCAGTGTTCAGAAAGCTCATGTGACCTTATTGGTAATTGGAACGTGGTGAAATTTTCCAGTATTGTTGCATAATGACTCTATATTATAAATATGCCTATTGTTTGCTTTCATCAAATCACAATAAAATTTTAGAAATAATTAAATTCCATGAACTTTTGGATCAACCCTCGTATTAGAAAAAAGATGGATCCAAGATTGAACAGGTTATAATTCACCTGAGTCATTTAAATTACTTATTGCTATCTGTTCTTGTTCAGTCATCATGTGTCAAGTATTGTCTGTAAACTATTGAACATTTTCATCTTCTTTTCTGGAACCAGTTTCAACTAATTTCTCGGTTGAAGTACTGTATAGGGGATTAATTTCAGGGGTTGTAATTTTCATGTTTTTCTCTCTGACACGATCGCGGTTTGTTGAATTTGCGGAATCGGTATATAACTAAGGTTACATGTACCTCCCTTCAATGTCTATATCCGTTTAATCCATAGCATAGCTAGAAGGCATTAATCAGCGTTATGTATTCACTTCACGAACAACAGGGTAGATTTATATATACATCAGCAAGTTCAATAGTTATTTGAATGATTTTTTAAAACCAAAATGTTGATAAAAACATGATAATGCAGGTAACAAATACACGTCGTAACATAGTTACGTATGGGTATTCAAAACCCATGACCCTAGTGTTTTGATTGATGAAACATGTAGTGTTGGCTGTTAAAACAGTTTTTTTTTTAAACAAATACAGGTTATTATCTGCTGGGTGATCTAAATTAATGTCAAGCATTTTAATTAAAATAATTGAATGACAAGTACGATTCGTAATTACAGAAATGACCATGCACTGCACGTATATTTACCTATCGTAGTCTATTCTCAAATTTCCAAATATAACATGTAGGTTATTGAAAACTTATTCACTGTTTCTTGAATTCACGGATTTATTCACACCGTGAATATAGCGAATATTAACACCGCGAGTTATTTTCCCCCTATACAGTATACAGACTTAATATAGAAATGATTTTATCGACTTTCTCAATCTATCATGAATTTAAAAATGTAAATATAAGCATTTAATTGTAAATATTAAACATTTAGCATCTCATAACCAGAGTTGGAAATTACTGACTGCCCGAGGCAGTCTGTTTTTCAGGTAGGCAGGGACAAACTTTAGATTAACCTCGGTGGTCGGGGTCATTTAAGGAGGTTCGATCCTGAGCTTTTGAGCAGATTTTGGTCTGGACCTTTATTTATAAAATTCTGCATCATTTTTAAGTTCACACATTAAATCTGAATTCTACAATGCAAATTAAACTATATCCAATGAAAAAACCGCAATTAAATTCCATTCAAAGAGGATTAAGCCAGGAACTATATTTTGTGGCGGAAGGTGTTTTAGGAGAAAATGATCATTTTTTCCCCTTTTGAAATATATACAGTACTGTGAAGTTTAGATTCCGATTTTTCCACGCTGGTTGCACACAGAGCTGTTTTTTGCAGTGAAATGTTTTATGCTGGTTCTGAAATATCTATTAAATTATTTCTTATGAATTCTTTCATTATATTGTGACAAATATAGTAAATATATTCTGAAACTCCAGGAAAAAATTGAGCCAATTTTAACATAAAATTAATACTTTTTTAGTAATATCTAAAAATTTACATCATAGACCCCCACTTTTGTTTTTATTTTCTGAATATATAAGATAACTTTGACCAATCTGCCTAAATTTAGAAAAAGTTTAAGACTTAAAATAATTTTCTTGCTTGTTAAATTTCTAATGCCAGAAAAATAACATTTTTTGAGTGCAGAAAGGTCAAATAATTGATTATGCGAAGCAATTTGAAACTTTTTCTTAGTCACAATTTTGAAGTGTCTTTTTTTAAGTAGACCAATAGTTTAACTTGTCCCATGATTTATTTGGATGAAAACATTGGAGGGAAAACGTCGAAGATGTGATTTTTGATAAAGACACTAATTTCAGTGCCAAAAGGTCATATTAAATGAACTGTAGCGCCAAAAGAAGCATATTGACCCCCATTTTTTGTTTTGATTTTTAATTAAGCTATGTGTGTAGAAACTAAAAATATACTTGACAAAAAAAGTTTAAGACTTTAAATATCAGGATCCAACCTCGTTAAACAGGTAGTTCCTGTTTTCCTTCTTTTTTTTCAGGGTATAGTAAGTCTATAGAAATTAAGTAAAATATAGTATATCAAAGGAACACTTCTAGTTAAAAATATGAGATGACCTATAGGACCAATATTGGTTTCAGTCTTTAGAAAAAGCTTACCGATATATGTTCCGGTCACTGACTTTAGGTCACATGTGTGTAGTTTCTTGTTTCTCATGTATTGCTTTAGTTCTACATTAATGGTAATCTAACAACCAAGCTTTGTGATAAACGTGATGACTTTAACTTTTCAATCGTCAACTTCCCTTACTTATTCAGCAATATACCTTCATCACCTGCATACGGGGTTTATATCTCTCAGTTGATTCGATACACAAGAGCATCCACTTTTGCCGAATGATACTTCTTGTGCTATTTTACCCGAGAAAAAAATCGAATGAAGTTGTATAGATACCTGTATCCATAGTGATCAAACTAAGAAATTTGCATGCTTGCGTTTGAAATAATACAATAACTATTAACATTAGTTCCTTTAAATTTTAAAATGAAAAAAAGTGTATTTAGGTGGCTTTCAATACCAGTACCATTGTCTTGCATGAATGTTAAAAATGTTTGACACTTTTATTTATGATGACATTTTAACGACACTAAACGCTCCTAACCATCCCGTGTTCCTAAAACCAAATACGGTACATACAAACTTCTCTATGCGGCTTGACTTCGATATAATGATACAAAACGTGGTTATGTTTTACAGTGAGCATCTTTGAGGAATGTTTACCTGGGTAGAACTCATGTGACTACCAGTATTTTAAATAATTTATTCCACGGGTGGGTTCAACATAGGTCATACAGGTAATGGCTCTTGCTTGTTATAGGAAAAACATTGAACTTTTCATACATTTTTAATATTTTAAGTACAAGCCTAATCATGTACAAATTTCCTACTTTCACACAAGTTTTATAAAATAATGTATAATGCATTTTTTGTCAATCGCACAAGTTTGTACAATGTTAGGCTGACAATAAACAAAAGCTTTGAAATGAATGACCGTCCTCGATTTACTATAAAAAATCACGAATGTCGGCTGACCCCTACCACATTGTATGGCTTTGCTCTTTGTATATTCATGAATTTCAGCGATAAAATTTGTTGAATCTTATGGTTTAGATATCAATTAATGATCTGAGATGGAAAATTATGCTTAATTTAATTCTTCATTTTGTCACATTTTACCGGGGCCCATTAGTGCACTCGTTCTTTAGTGTTATACAGGTAAAAAGTTTGAAAAAATAAAAATGTGCCAACAAATGGTTTCGAACCAGGACACTAAAAATTTCATGGTGAGAGTCTGCGGTCTATCGTTCTGGGCTATGCTGACTATGAGGACATTTGTAATAAATATAAACCAGTATGATAGAAATAGGTTTTCACGTTTTTTGTAGTTTTTTTTCTATGAATTTCGACCCTAGGCACCTCTAAAAGAACCTTGTTTTAAACTATTGCTTACTAGATCAAAATCTATCAAAATTTCATAATTTAATTTAGGGGCAGGCAAAGGGTGATTATATTGCATCTATCGGGTATAATTTTCTTATCAGAAAATTGTAGAGATATGCAAGGTTAATTAATGACATTTATTTTTCCTTTTTGCCTAATACTTTTATGATTTTCACTAATAAATTGATAATTGAAAAAAGCCTTTAATATGAATGCTGATTTTATCTCCATCTGTTAATTTTCAACACCTTTTCTCATGATTATAGTAGATAGAGAACAGATTATGATTTCTAACATTTACTTTTACAGATCATTTCCTTGAGATAGGTGGAACCAACAGTCAAATACAGACACTTTTTAGAAAAGTAAAAATCTGGCTCAGGTTAAAAAAAAAAATCATTTACAGTTTTAACAATTAGTAATTTTACCTTAATTAACTGGAAAAATCTTATTTGACGAAAAACAGGTCAAGAATGAAGAGTTTAAAGCCTAGTAGGGATTTTGGTCATGCAGGTAAGTTAAGGCTTCCCGTAGAATATCACAGTGCACTCTGTGCCTTCACATCTCTGAACTACCAAAATATGACGTCATAATGGAAAATGACGTCAAGTCACTGAAATCTTGAGGTGTTATGACGGGGAGAGTGCCATGAACTTTACACTTTATTTGAAACTGCATGTAAAATGCTAGGTAGCTATTGCAAAATTCATGGGTCGTTAAAGGTTTTTTAAGTCGTATATGTCAGAATATTTTAAAAATACACCGCTTACCTACCCTTGATTGAAATTCAGCATGTTCAAAATGCTTATGAAAAATATACTTTTGAAATGTACTCTGTTTTATACCCGTGGTTGGAGGTAGAATTTATTTAGTGTGTATAAAAGAGTCTGGTGCAGGTGAAGAATGAGGATTAATCTGAGAATTTTTGTTGAAATCTGTAAGAAGAGGTTGTTCTCTAACTGAATCTTGCTTGGGAAAAATGTGTGTTGGCTTTGTTTTAATACAGATTACGATGTTGTGTGGAAAATACCCTCAAATTTGTAGGTAAGTTGAATTTCTCTGGAAATATTTTGTATCTAACTAATACTATGACTTTTCCCAAGCACATTTCGGATACACAAGGATACGATGAGTTTAGTTTTATAACAAAATGTTAATAATTATTGTGTAAATCAACTGCGCCAAAGCGATTTATATGAAACACATCAAAAAATTATAAATGACCGTCACGTGATCAGCAAAGTCATGTGATATCATAACAAATATATTAATACATAGCCGAGGAAATCCTCTATATAAATTGGAGGTACTTAAGTTCAATACTTTTAAATTAAAACTAAAACCAACCTCGCAATGACATATTATGTTTTGAGCGCATTTTAAAGCTTCGGGAAGCCTAAACATAGCTGCGCAATCATTACAGGTAATCTGCAGGCCCTCTCGAGAATTTTACACTCATATGGAGACGCCACCACTTGCCAGTGGAAAGCTGCAAATTCTGTCCTATACTCTGCACTCATGGCCATTGAGCAGTGAGGGGTCTTTTTCATGCCAGCACCTACTGTGACACGGGACCTTGGTTTATAAGGTCTCATCCGAAGGACTGGTCTCCATGTCCCACAGTGGGATTCAAACCTGCGACATAAGGATCAACTCCTTACTTCGCGACTCTAGAGCAGACACTCTAACCATGGCGCCACGCTTGTGACTAGCTCAGTTTTAAAGAAATCATTCAAGATATTTTTTATCAAACTTAATATGCTGATACATATATAATTAGTAAGACCTATTCAACTATTTCAAAAACTTTTGACCTTTCCTGTGACCTTGACCTCACTTTCCTTCAATTTGCATTTTGCATGGTTTAAAACCATTTAAAATATTGATATCTAAGGCTATGCATCTATACATAATTTGGTGAGAATCTATCATCTATATCCATTTTTTTTTAGATTTCAATTTCAATTTTAAAGAAACTTTTCAAGATATTCTCATCAAACTTCATACACTAACACAAAATTTCATGTTGCATTACTATACACTTGGCAGGCATACATGTCCTATGGACATATTTCTAGTGTATTGCTATTTCTGTTGTTTGTTTACTTCCGGTCAGTAAGTGCCCCCTAGGGGCAAGCCCCAGTCCTGTTTTCTTTTCCAGGGTTGCAACAGCGCCCCCTAGAAAAACAAGTTGCACCATCCAATCAAATCGTGTTTTGTGCTGCTTTATGCCAATGAAATTAAGGCTGGACAGCATATATATTATATTCTGACCAATGGGGTTGCCGTATTTTCAAATAATTAGGATAGACTTACCACTTCAGCATTCCTTTCATCACTGAAGTGATATACATGGTCAAAAATTGACTAACTTTCATTTTTGTGTCAACTGCAGAGCAGAACGACACTTAGAGATCACTTTACCTGGTGTCTGTCTGTCCGTCTGTCACACCTTATATCTCCAAAATTTTGAGAGGCAGGGTTTTGATAATTAGCATTTATATATGTTTTTGAGCTCATGATACTATACTTTGAAACTGTATGAAATTCAGTTACCACACAAACTTATATTTAAATACTATGAAAATACATTGGGATCAGTATTCCACAATGAATCGTGTTGACTGACAAAGTGACAATTAAAGTAAAGACAGTCTGAAATTCCTTTCCTCCGAGGATTGTTGGAAGCACCTACATGTGTATTAATAAAATGATAAATAGTTATTCCTCATAATTTCAATTAAATTATTCATTTGAGGACTGGGGAACCATATTTTCTTTGATTGCCAGATTCTATCCCAGTCTTTTACTTTTGGATCCTGTTTTTCCTTGCAGGCAAATGCATGAACCTCCATGCTAATATTAAATTAATAGCTGACCACTCTTAGATTTATTTACCTCTTTAATGACGATACCTAGCAGGTGACATATACATTCCTTGAAACACTCTAGTTCCTATTTGATTTTCACTAATATAAAGATTATTGAAAAAAGACTAAGGTGCTCTATAGTGATCAGTCTATTCATTCATCTTTCTGTCAAATACATATATCCCTTGTTCAGAGTACAGGTGACTCTAAATACTTCAAACTTTATATTTTTTAATTAGATACATGTAGCTGCTTTGGAACATCTGAAAGGTCTATTACATTATCACTAGTTTTACTAGTTTTCTTCATGTAAGTTGAATATATTTTAAACTTTTAAATTTTTATTTTTTCCAGGTAAGAAAGAAATTCAGGAGTTCTTAAATTGCCCTTGGAGTTCTTGGATTGCATCAAACTGCTAAAAGACCTCAACAAAAACAGCGTCTTGAAAATAAAAATGAAAATATTTAGTGAAAAAAAAATGATGAAAGAGCCACTAAAAATCTTCAAACCTTTGAGCTGAAATCTGGAAGTCAATCTGTGGACTTTACTAGTATGTAATAATTACTAACTCATCATTTGTGTATAATAAATACACTAAACTGTAAACACTTGTTAAAATGTATAATTTTTAGATATAATTTGTAGCTCACAGACTTCAATAGTTTCATGTAATTTAAGTAATAATGAAAATTTCCTGTTGTCTAGCTAGATTAGAAACTATTATTGTCCAATTTTGGATATTGTGAAATAATTCATCTAGTATGCATACATGTGTGTACACTTACGTGTAAATTAATTGTTATAGCAAATTCAATCGATCATTAAGTTGAATGTTGACTAATGTTTTTCATCAAAATTGTTTACACTGAATTGTTTGTGGATTTTTCCATTTGCCCAATCATGTCAAGGAGCACATGGCAGGAAATGCTTTCTCCTCCATTGCACCTGGTGTTTTTAGAGGTCTGTGTTTGCTCTGCTCTAATTATGTATTGTTTCAATGGACTTTAAAGCTTTATCACTGTTAGTAATCTTCATATTTCATATACTATTAGAGTACTTGAAGAAAACTGTAAAGATTTAACATACAGTATAATGCATGTATATTGCACTTTAAGTACAGTGTATGTGGTTAAGAAATGTTAAATCGTCTCATAGTGCATTGAATTTGTTGAAAATTAGAAAATGTGTTGAATTTTTTTTTGAAATAATGTTAAGATTGCAGATTTTTTTAAATCATGCAAGTAAGAAATTGCAAAATATTTTTTAGCTTTTCTGGACAGTCTAGATGAGTTCTTATTATATACCTAGCATTGTCATCCCAGTTAAAATTTAAGGAGCAAGGTTCATTCCTAAGCTCTACCTGGACAAACTTGCATGGATTAAAGCACATTAACAGATTTACTTCAGATGCTTGACCTGATCTACATTTTCCTCATGTGTTTTTTTTGTTTTTGTTTGTTTGTTTAACATCCCTCTCAAGAATTTTTCATCCATATGGAGATACCACTACTTGCTGGTGGAGAGCTGCAAAATTTGACCTTTACTTTGCACTCAGGGCCTTGAGCAGTAAGGGATCTTTTTTGTGCCCACATCAACTGCTAGGCGGGACCTCGGTTTATATGGTCTAATCTGAAGGACTGGTCCCCACATCCCAAGTGGATTTGAACCTGAGACTTAAGGATTAAATCCTTACTCTAGATTACAAACTCTATCCTTTGCGCCACATGGGGGACTCCACAAGATTAAGTGTTTTGAGCAGTCCTATTCTCATGTAATTATAAACTCTATGTTGAACAAACCTGCAAAGATGATGTATGTACATGTAAATATTTCAGGGTACCAATCCTTGATTTGACTTAGATTTTCTGGATTAATGACCAGTTTTTTAGAGAAGGTTCATTCAAAGTAACAATATACTCTTTGGTGATCAGTAAACATAGATGATGTATCCTGCTTCTGATGCTGGATGTAACATACATTTTCAGGGTTATTGAGCAGTTAAATCTAACCCAGACCAACTTGCATAGATTTTGGATCCAGGTGATATACATTACCAGAGTGTTTGTTGAGTGAGACTTTGCCTTACTAGTAGATAACATTTATAGAAGTGAGCTTTGTATTCTTTGATTAGGTATGTTTTTTCTTTGCTCAGGATATATATACCATCAGTGCCAACTACCATACATTTTATATAATAGATGTAGCTGTTGTTCAACTGAATATGATAAAACTGTGGATGAAAATAATTTGATTTTTGTACCTTTGAATGTATTGAATTCATTTGTAAAAGCTTATATGATACAATGTTTGATATTTTATAAAAGTTTTTAGCATATGCAATCAATAAATGTATCAACATTTTTATTTTATTATACTTTTTACCCTGCAAACTTCTTAAAAACAGAATAGTAATGATCCATTTAACTGATACTAGGTTAGTGTCACATTGTACTGGTATATCATGTATACTGAACTGTAAATAAGAAACATCTAAATAGGTAAAATCACAGCATGAATCATTGGATTATGTAAGAAGTGCACTATCTTGTGCTTTGGTATGGTATTAATAATAAATGTTAAACTATCATTTTTTTTATGCCCCGCCATGAATATGGCCGGGGGATATAGTGTTTGTCATGTCCGTCTTCCGTCCTTCCGTCTGTTTTCCGTCACACTTTACGTTTAGCTCTGTTCAAAGCTCAGTTTCAAAGAAACTATCCAAGATATTTTTATCAAACTTCATATGCTGATAGATATTGATGAGAGCTTTGCAACTGTATCAACATTTTTTTGACCTTGACCTTTCCTTTGACCTTCACCTCACTTTTCTTAAATTAGTGTTTAGCTTAGTTTTAAAGATACCATTCAAGATAGTGTAATCAAACTTCACATGTTGATACATACTGATGTAAGCTATTCAACTGCATCAACATTTTTTGACCTTGACCTTTCCTTTGACCTTGACCTCACTTTTCTTAAATTAGTGTTTAGCTCAGTTTTAAAGATACCATTCAAGACATTTCTAACAAACTTCATATGCTGATACATACTGATGAGAGCTATTCAACTGCATCAACATTTTTTACCTTGACCTTTCCTTTGACCTTGACCTCACTTTTCTTAAATTAGTGTTTAGCTCAGTTTTTAAAGATACCATTCAAGATAGTGTAATCAAACTTCATATGTTGATACATACTGATGAGAGCTTTTCAACTGCATCAACATTTTTTGACCTTGACCTTTCCTTTGACCTTGACCTCACTTTTCTTAAATTAGTGTCAAACTTCATATGCTGATACATACTGATGAGAGCTATTCAACTGCATCAATATTTTTTGACCTTGACCTTTCCTTTGACATTGACCTCACTTTTCTTAAATAAGTTTTTAGCTCAGTTTTAAAGATACCATTCAAGATAGTGTTAGCAAACTTCATATGCTGATACATACTGATGAGAGCTACTCAACTGCATCAACATTTTTTGACCTTGACCTTTCCTTTGACCTTGACCTCACTTTTCTTAAATTAGTGTCAAACTTCATATGCTGATACATACTGATGAGAGCTATTCAAATGCACCAATATTTTTTCACCTTGACCTTTCCTTTGACCTTGACCTCACTTTTCTCAATTTGTGTTAAAATGTTGCATTACTAATATACCCTTGGCGGGGCATTCATGTCCTATGGACATATTTCTAGTTTCAAATTAACAAAGGATATGCTTGAGTGACTGTATTTTGACTAGCAGTAAAAATAAAATGATTTTTAAGCATTTGAATTATTTTGATTCATGGTCTCTGCAAGTTTAATGATAGCAAATATGTATATTGAACATGGCATCCACATATTGCTATACTGGATGGGGCATAACTTTTACTGAATCTTAATCACAACCTTGAAATTTTATGTAGTACATGTACTCTTGGTTTCAACTGGTCAAATGTATTCTTAAATCAGAAAGAATTTAAACAAATATAGGCATAGGTCAGAACTTCATCAATTAGTTGGAAAGCGAATGCACTCAGTGACTATATGGTTTAAAAGAAGCTTGGTATAAATAGCAGGAAAAACTACTTGATGTCCACTGTGAACTTTGTGTCCTCAACAAAACAACATGGAATATACTATACTTGGTCTAAAGAATAATCTATGTCTGCATTCACTTTTAGGTTAAACTGTTTTGGGCATTGAGAGTTTGTTGTTTAACGTCCCTCTGGAGAATTTTTCACTCATATGGAGATGCCAACACTTGCCGATGGAGAGCTGCAAATGACCTATGCTCGGCACTCAGGGCCAATGGGCAGTGAGGGATCTTTTTCATGCCAGCATCTACTGCGACACTGGACCTCTGTTTGTACGAAGGACCGGTCTCTACGTCCAACAGTGGGATTCAAACATGTGACAAAAGGATCAACTAACTCCACGACTCTAGAGCATTGGCTCTTTCCACTGCACCACGTGGGCGACAGCATTGAGAGTTAAATGTGGATATCAGAACAAGCTACTCTGGGCTTATACTCTCTATATATTGATTGATTGTATGTTGTTTAACATTCCTCTCAAGATTTTTTCACTCAAATGGAGACACCACCACATGCTGGTGGAGATCTGCAAATTTTGTCCTATATCGGCACTTACGGCCATTGAGCATCGAGGGATTTTTTTCGTGCCAGCACCTACTGCGACACAGGACCTCAATTTATACGGTCTCATCTGAAGGACTGGTCTCCCCATCCCACAGTGGGATTTGAACCTGCGACGTAAGGATCAACTCCTTACTTCGCTACTCTAGAGCAGACGCTCCAACCACTGCGCCACTGGGGCAACTACTCTCTATTTAAGTCACTTGTGCAATGACTTTAGTTTAATTCAAAGTTTTTTACTGATCATGTTGAGTCACATTACCACAAATATCTTTCTGCTGACCTTGACTTATGACCATCCGCAACTATTCTGGTTGGAAACAATATGTTAATTAATGCATAATAAGTGAAATTACTATGAAAGAAAAATGGTCTACTTAAACCACAAGTTATATTTATAAAAAATATACACTGGTCTCCTTAAGTCATATGAGAGAAACATAAAATATTAAGGAGACCATTTTTTTCATATATTTTTAGGAGGCATTTATTATGAAAAAACAAAGCAAGAGTCGACTAAATGGTGTTCTATAGATCTTTGATCTTGTATTTCTTTTTAGAAAAAAGCAAATTTAAAAAATTTGTATATTGTCTCCTTAAGCCATATATAATGGTCTGGTCTCCCTAGTCCTTAAATCAGAGTTATATATATATATATATATATATATATATATATATATATATTATTTGTCAAATTATTGACATATTTAATGAGTAATTTTACAGACACAATATTCCTGATAAATATAAATAACATGTACCTGTACTTTTGGTTTCTTTAATGGGGAAAATACATTCAAATAAAGTTTCCAGCTATTTTTATTTTGTTTAGAATGCCCTTAAAGTACTTAAAATTAATAATCAAATATTGTCATACACTGTAGAGCTGCAGTTTTCATATCCAAGGACAGATCACTGTAGACTAACTGCAAAAAAAGTACCATAAAATCAAAATTCTAGAGAAGATTCTTGAAAATATGTTTTCTTGCATTTTTGTCAGGAACAATAAAGTTGTATGATAGTAGGTATTGCCTTGAATTAAGCCCCACCTTTTTTAAAAGATTTTAAAAAATAATCTTGATTGATATAGAAATAAAGCCTCTGGTGGGCTTTGAACTTCATGAATATAGTGTCCTTGGGTAGAGGGTATGTAATGACCTTGAACCAATTTTCTAGAGATCAAGGTTAGAAAGTTTCTTTGCACAGGAAAACCTTGTTCAGAGTATTATTGTCTTCTCTCCCCTTGGCCTTACCTGGCTCAAACTTTACCCATGGAGTACCCATGGGTTGAGGAAGTTCAAGGGCTTGAACCAATTTTTTCAAGCAAAGGTCAAAGTCAAAATAACCTCCTTGTGTTAAATCCTTGTTTACAGCACATTTTCTCATCCATTGGTTGTTTTGGGCTCATACTTTATTCACAGAGTACTCTTGGGTAGAGGGTGTGAAGTGACATTGAACCATTTTTCTAGATGAAAGGTCAGAAAATCTCTTCGCATAAAAAAATCCTGAGCATAAGTTTTTTTTCTAATTTTCATAGATGAAAGGTCATCATCAGAAAACTTTGTGTACAATCCTTCTCAAGGGTTTATTTTTTCTCCCCTTGGTCCTACCTGGATCAAACAACATTTTTCTAGGTTGGTTGTCAAGTTTATAGAAAACCTCTGTAAATAAATTTCTTGATCATTTTCCTTCCATTCAAGTCACACAAAAAAAACTACAAAGGAGTTTGAGTTTGAGGCTTCAATCCATTACAAAATATATGACTGTCTTCATATTTTGAGTATGCAAAAATGAACTAAATTATGTTTGAAAATTACTCACAAAGACCCTCACCTGACTTGTTGTAGATGGGTAAATATACCCTCAGGGAACAATGGGCCTGTTCAAAATTGGACTAGGCAGGATTAAATCATCATTATCATGATTAAAATAACAAGAACCACACTAACATTTATTTTTTCTTATAAAATGTTAAATGTTGTATGTTGTTCAACCTTTCCCTTGCATCAGTGTGGTCCCCCCTTTTGCTCAGGTACCAAACCTCATGGTACTTGAAAATTTTTTTCCAACATATACTTATCCTAAGCATCCTCCAGGGATAGAGTGGGGCCATAAGAGGGGATCTGAGTCCCAAAAGATGATTAGGCTACTATGTAAAATGTAAGTGGAATTCAGGGAACCAGGGGCATTTTGCATAAAAAAAAACATCATCTTTTTTTTTTACCCCTATTTGACCCCCAGGGTGAAAAAGAAAATTCCAAAATCTTATTGCACATCTACAGGACACCATTAACCATCACCCAAAAGATGATTAGGCTACTGTGTAAATGTAAGAGTTCAGGGAACCAGGAGCTTTCTTCATAAAAAAAAGCATCATTTTTCCTCCCCTTTTTTACCCTTAGGGTGAAAATGGAAATTCCGAAACCTTATTGCACATCTACAGGACACCACCAACCACCTCCCAAAAGATGATTAGGCTACTGGGTAAAATGTAAAAGGAGTTCAAGGAACCAGGGGCTTTTTGCATTAAAAAAACGCCATTTTTCGACCCTCATTTGACCCCTAGGGTGAAAATGAACATTTTGAAACGTTATTGCACATTTACGGGACACCACCAACCATCTCCAAAAAGATGATTAGGCTACTGTGTAAAATGGAAGAGGAGTTTGAGGAAGAAGAAAGTGTGACAGACGGACGGACATGAGTAACAACAATATACCCGAACTTTCTTTAGAAAGTGCAGTTATAATAAGTTTAAAAAATGAATACATCAGAATATACTTTTCTGAAATTTGAAACTTAAATAAGTGTTTTAAGATCAAATCATACAGCCTCGAAAACCAGAACAAGATTTTAGGTACAACATGTTTTTAAAAAAGGAAAAGAAAATCACATACCTTGACAGTAAATGACATTCGATTTTTTTTTCCCAAAGGTGTTCATTGCATATTTATGCTTTTACTGTTAGTGAGTGGATGTAAAAATAACAATAGAGATTATTTACATTCCACATGTGTTTTCCTTATAAAATGTGTGAAAAGAATCGGCATTCAAAACACCTTGCTCCAGGGCCATAATACTTAGATGAGCTCACTTTTGATCTCAGTCTTACTTTTCCACTATATATTTGTTTTGTAAAAGTGAGATTGACATTAAAAGTGAGCTCATCTAAGCTTTATGGCCCCGGAGCCATAACATCGATAGGGAGGTTAAAAGGTTAAATTATGATTTTTATTTTGAAGTCACAAACATTGAACTCCATAATAAATGTTTTCAGCGAAATTCAAAATTCACGCTCACACTGAACAGCAACAACTGCTCCTTCAATTTAGCTGTACAGATGCGATGTGTATCATTCTAACAAGCATAATATACCTAGTAGTCAAAGAAAAGATAATTATGTTATCAATCTACTGTGATATTTTGATACAGGTATGTTAATATGAGCACTAAATTGTAAATTTTGGACGTTCAACGTGCATTAATCAATTTGTCAGCACAGTCATCCTTGTTATGGCTAATTAAATTACCAGTTAATTATTAATTAATTTATGATTAATTAAACGTCCAAAATTTACAATTCATTGCTTTGTGTTTGATGTAGATCAAGATAAGCTAGTAAGGTATGGGCATAGAGCGCAGTACAAACGTGATGGATATATAGCATGTGTCGTAATATCTTTTGTTCCCAAAATATTGAACATTTTATTGATATGCACCCAAGTCCAGTAATAAATATTAAACTAATTAAATACATATATGAAATCGTATAGATTTGCATCTACTTACCAAACCTGAGTCTTCTTTGACCTTTGACGTAGATTCTTCATTGTACTTCTATATGATGTAGATTTCCACTTAGTGATGAAATGAACAAGACAATTTCCCCGAAAAGCCACTCACTTGTCTTACTGGTTCCCTATCTAGATAAGCAAAAGCACATTTAAAAATCAGCGATTATTTCATAATAAAAAATATTTGAGATCGAATTATTGAGAAAATAACTGATGGGTTTCATATGTATCATTTGTAAGTTTTTTTAACAACAGAATTTTTATGACTTCGGTTTCGGCCGTTATTTTAGAATCAGTTCTTAGATATTTAAAAAAATAGCTGATTGTTGTCGTCA